CCTAATTATAATATATCTATTGTATTTAAATACAATAATTTAATAAAAAAAAACCATATAAAAATCAAATAGAAATAATAGAAAAGTATATAATTGTTAACATTATGTAAGTAATACGTATACTTACATAATTTATGTACAGATTTATTATTATATTATATATATTATATTCAGATACTTGTGTCTTTTTTTACACAATATTAAAATAAATAATATAATAATTATTGAATATCTAATAGAACTTTTGTAAAGTGATGTATATTTGGATTTTTATATGGAATGTACGTGCTTTCAGGTCAAAAATACGTATCAGTGGAATTTACATGCTATAAATCCAACCCTACTATAAATCGACTACCTGTAAATCGGTGGAGTTTACAATCGCCCTTATATATAGTTCCCCAGTAGGGAAAATGGACCTAGTACAAGCTTGAATCGAGGTAATTAATTACGTGGTATTCAAATTCAAATATTATATATTATTGTTATATTTTTATAAAATATATATTTAAAAATAATAAAATTTAATACAATTACTATTCAACATTTTATTCTATACRATCAAATATTTAAAATATTTATCAAACAAAAAAAATAAATTTTCTAGATTCTATGTTTAAGAATTAAAACTCGTAGGATAATTTTGCTTAGCTAAATATGGATTGAACTGAGAATTATACTTTTGAACAATAGTTGGTTTTRGTTGTGGTTTTGAAACTTCAACAGGTACATCTCCATTTATTCGTGCCAATAATTGACTAGCTCTAAACCTCTCTTCTCTCTCTCTCTTTAATCTCTTTTCTCTGAGTTGTTCTAAAATTAATTTGTTTTKGTTTTTGTCATTAATTTTATCCTTTTTTTTTTCTTTTTTCTTATGTTTTTTCTTATGTTTTGTTATAGGTAATTTGTCCTTTTTATTTTCTAATTCTTTTGAATGTTTATTGCTTTTTGGATCAGCTTCGACATATTTCTTCATGACAATAAGTGGATCATTAAATATTTTAACTTTTGTTTCTATTTCTTTATCAGTTTCRCACAAATCTAATCGTTTTGGTTTTTTGTTATACCATTGTACATTGCCAGTCACCTCATCAGTGTCCTGTCCTAAATAAGTAAGATAACCAACTTTTTTCTCATATGCTTCTTTTTCTTCCTTTTTTTCCTGTTCGTGTTCTTTGTTAACACCTGTGTGAGCAACATGCCCATCTTCAAGGTCTTGGAAAAAATTAACATGACTTGGGATTTCTGGTTTAGTTTCTTTGGGTCGATCAGCAGAGTCATCATATCTTTTTTTTGACCTATCTCTCAGCAATGAAAGTTTTGTTTCTTGCTCCTGATGTAAAACATAAATACAATTTAATATGCATTTATACATTGTTCGTAATACTCAAATTATTTTATTTTAAAGATTAACTTTATCTATAAATATTTAATGTGATATGATCACATAAAAAGTWGAATTTTAAAATAATTATGTTATTAAAAACGTAAAGCCTAGATTATCCACAACCAATTTGAGAATCAAACATTTTCCTGAACCCCCAACTAAAGGAGTTAATACTAAATACTATCCCGAGTAATAACACAAAATACAATGCTATTGATGCTAATGATCAACGCTAATAATCGACGATCAATAATTGCAACTGTGCAATAAAATTTCTAAAATAATGGAGACAACGAAATGTTTTGGTCTTTGCATATTATATATATATATATATATATATAATATTCCAACATTCGAGCTATGATAGACATGAAATCAACTATGAGGGTATGTAGTAGGAATTTAATGTTAGTTTAAAACTTTAAAATTTAAAAGTATATAATACTTTTTAATTAGTATAGCTCTCCTAGTCTGCTTCTACACTCCCAACATTTCTTCAGGTCTTATACTGCCCTTCACCCCCCTCCCACCACTACAAATACTATCAACGCCCACAGGGGAACTTTATCGCCCACTTTGAGAATGACTGGCCTAGATTAACAGATTAAATAAAAGTTAAATTTTTAATTTCAAATTAAAATTCAATTTATTTTTAACTACTCACAGCTAACTGTATTCTCATCTTAAGTTTTTTCTCTTCTTCAGCTGCTTGTGCTTCATCGCGCCTAACACGYGCAATGTTATCTTTGGTTCGTACATGCCACCTATAATAATATTAATAAGGTACGTTTGATGAATATATTTCAAGAATATTAAAGAATACATTATATTGATACTAAAAAAAAAATGTATACATTA